GCGAATAAATTTTTACCTATTACGAGATAATATAATTATGTTTTAGAATGCAAACAAAGATGTATAAGTAGGTAGTTGCCCGTTCACTTTTTAATTTTTTTTAATTATAAAAATAGAGGTCTCTTTGAAAAGAAGTATACAGTTTGACTCTAATGGGGCAGTTTATACCAAGTGATCAATAAGTTGTGGGAGGCTTGGACCATTTGTCTGTGCTTTTTTTAAAGAGAAAATCTCACTTTATACCTATTAAATTCAAACTATTTATCCTTAAATATCCATACCTAAGCTATTTACTACTCCTATTCATGTGGTCCAAATTATTTACCCGCCTCCTCCCCCGGAATATGGAACTTTTCAAGCACCTACCAGTTACCCACCACATTAACCTGTGATCGGTTTTCCTCAGCCAGTTCCTCCACCTGGCGTCACCGCATCATCACCTGAATATTATGCTCATGGTTATCAGGCTGTTCCAAGTTCTTCTACCACCCTCTGCTCCTATACTGTGTTCATGATTTTAATAGTTACCGCAATTAGTTATTCAGATGCCGAAAAAAATCACCTGATATTCATGATTTTCGTGAATTATTGTTGCGTTTTTCAGTGATTATGGGTGGGTGGACTTTATTGTACAAAAATTCAAATCCACCATTGAAGGACCTTGAAGCTTGAAACTCATAACTTGGTTTGTTTGAGTTTTTAATTATTTTGATCCGATCCTATATGGGTTTGTTTGGAAAGTTGATTGGAGGTTGTATCTAAAGTTTTAGTCAATTTGGTGGAGATTTTGTAGTAGATTTTAAAAGTTTGGGTTGAAATATAGTTGAACAAGAGAAGAAGACGAATTTGTATTGTATACTCAAATAGTATACAAATATACCATTTTGGTATACAATTCATTCCAACTATATACCCTATTAGTATAACTATATACTATATTGGTATCATATGCTAGTTGAATCATTTTTTGGTTGTATTAGCTGCATTTATTAGTACAATATTTGATTTTCTTTTAATAATAGTAATATAGTTCAATATCTTGAAATACTTTATTACATTAATATGTGGTACACTATTTTTTTTATTTTTTTCTTTATGCATGTGTGTTATGTAATAGTAGTATAGTCATATAGTTGCCGGAAATTAACCAGTAAAACTGTATACCATGTTGGTATAGTTATATGTCATATTGGTAACTTATGGTAGTTTGAACATTTTTTTGGTTGTTTTGGCTGTATTTTTAAGTAAATTCTATTCAAAAATTATTTATATGAACGTGATTTGCAGTGCTGGAAAATTTTTGTGCTGATGGATATAGATTATGTGTATTATGTAATAGTTTTTATAATTATAGGTAATTGTTGGAACAACCCATACAACTATACACCCTGTTAGTATATGGAATGAGCAAGTTGCTTTGCGAATATTTAGCTTGCAATGCGAGCATGTAATTTTCTCATACTTTTATTGTATCCTTTAATGTTTTGGTACAGTAGTATAGTCACAGATAGTTGTAGCAATATTCTAGAGCAATCATATACTCTGTTGGTATACATGTATACCATATTGGTATCATGTGGTACTAGAAGTCTTTTTTGCTACTTATATTTTTATTGCATTTTCCAATATTTTATTATCATTTCTATTCTAACTAGTATATATGGAGATTTAGTGGCCGTAGATTATATTGTCTTGCTCCATCACTGGTTGGTGTTACTGCTAATGGTAGAGTATGTACTAATATTTATAGGGAAGGAGATCAAGGTTTGCATGGCAATCACGTGGAATTAAAAAAGGAACAAGAAATAAAGAAAAAAAATAAAAATAAAAAAATAAAGAAGGAGTCAAATTAGAGTGTGAAATAAGTTATGGTAAAAATAATAATAGTACGATTTGGGCAAAAATAAATGAATAAAAGAGAAAAAAATAGGAAGAAAATGAGAAAAAAGAAAAGGATAAAAGAAAAGAAAAAAGGAAAAAAAGAAAAGAAGCATAGAAATAAAAAAGAATTGGAGAATAAAGAAAAGATTTCCCAAAAAAACTGCTATGGGTAGGAAATGTAATTAGTTTATAGGTAGAAAAACAAATGGGTAGACAAGGGTAAATAGTTTTGTTTTTGTGGGTAACTGTGTCAAAACCCCTTTTTTAAAACGGGAGGACTATACTGAAATATTATGAACCCGAAATATTACGATTTTAAGAATTTATACAAATAAACTCAAATTAAATTGGGATTTGTCACGACCCAAATCTCCCTTCGTAAGATATCGTGACGGCACCTAGTCTCTACGACTAGGTAAGCCTAACATTTGCTGAATAATAAAAATGAAATCATAAATCTAATAGCTAACTGTAACAGATAATTAAATACTAATAGAAATGCCGCTCGGCATGTACAGTAACCAACTCTCAAAATATACACAAAACTCTCCCAAGACCCGGAACACCATAAGTCACAAGCTTCTAAGAATTTGTCTAACTGTTCTATACATTAGTATCTAAAAGAAGTAAAGGAAGAATTAACACAAAAGAGATAGAAGGAGACTCCGAGGTCTGCGGACGCGGGCAGATGTACCTTGAAGTCTCCAGAGCAGCAGCAGCTATGCAACTAAAAGCGAGGCTGGTAGGAGGTACCTGAATCTGCACACGAAAACATGTGAAGAAAAGTAGCATGAGTACACCACAACGATACCCAGTAAGTGTCAAGCCTAACCTTGATCGAGTAGTGACGAGGTTAGGTCAGGGCCCTACTGGTATATATATAAGTTAAATAAGGCAGAATGAAAATATCGCAGTATAATAAGAGACTAAAATTTAACAAAAGGAAATCACAGAAAAATAACAGTACAATACACAGGAATAACAGCAGGGGATCACTCGAGATACCGTCTCGTAGTCCCAAAAGTAAATGTGTAGGAGGATCTCTCGGGATACCGTCCCGTAGTCCCAAAATAAATATGTAGTGGGATCTCCCGGAATACCATTCCGTAGTCCCAAAGTAAATATGCAGGGGGATCTTCCGGAATACCGTTCCGTAGTCCCAAAGTAAATATGCAGAGGGGGTCTCCCGGAATACGGTTCCGTAGTCCGAAAGTAAATACGTATCCCAAACAACGAAAACAACGGTTACAGCAAGTAATCCTACAATTTAGACTAAGTACAAGTCAAGGAAAAAGTAGTAAATCCACTGAGCATGCTGCACAGAGTTCAAATACGCATTTAAGGCACGTAGACATACTATTCTAGGCTAAACAGGATAACTACACATGCTGGTATATCTCAACTAAGAAGAAACAGGTTATTACTTAGTAAAAAATCAGATTTTACAACAAATAGCACGCGTACGCACTCATTACCTCACGTACTCGGCGCTTACATATCACAACAGTACCAAATCCTAAGGGGAGTTCCTCCACACAAGGTTAGACAAGCTACTTACCTCGAATCAAACTCAATCAATCGATCACAATGCCTTTTCCACGAATATCCGACTCCAAATGGCCCAAATCTAGCCAAACACAATTACATATCATAAATACAACTAAAATAAACTAATCTAATTAATGAAATCAAGACATTAATAAGAAATTAGAAAAATGCCCCAAAAAGTCTCCCCGGGCTCATGTCTCGAAATTGAGTAAAAGTCACAAAATATGAACACCCATTCACTCACGATTTCACTCGTACTAAAATGATCCAAATTCGATAACAAAATCCCAATCGAAACTAAAAAACTTGGTTGATGAACTTTCCAAACTTTTTCCCAATTTTCTCAACCCAAATTCCTTAATTAATGATGAAATCGACTATAAATTAGTGGAATATAAAGGAGGTAAGAATCATTACCCAAAAGCTCTGTCTGAAAATCCTTCAAATAATCGCCCAATCCGAGCTCTCAAAGTTCCAAAATTGAAAATAGGATAAAACCCTCGAACTTGCCCTTTTTCTGCCCAGCGATTTAGCATTTGCGGGCCTCCAGTCGCACCTACAGAAACTCCTTCGCAGGTGCAGACTTGACTTAAGTCCCCTGGGTCCGCATTTGCGAGAAGAGGGCCACACCTGCGGATGCGCACCTGCGACCACATCGCTCCTGCGCACCTTCCCTCCGCAGAAGCGAAGCCGCTTCTGCGTAAAGCTTTACGCACCTGCGAACCCAGCCTGGGCTGCCCAAACCCGCTTCTGCGAGCCTCCATTGGCACATGCGTATCCGCACCTGCGGACAAACGCACCGCAGGTGCGATTACACCAGAAGTTCAAAAACTTCAGCAGTTACACAAGTCCAATTTTCGATCCGTTAAGCATCCGAAACTCACTCGAGGCCCTCGGGACCTCAACCAAACATACCAACAAGTACTAAAGCACCACACGAACTTAGTCGAGCCCTCAAAACACATCAAACAACAACAAAAACACGAATCACCCTCCAATAGGAACTTAATGAACTTTGAAACTTCAAACTTCTACAACCGATGCCGAAACCTATCAAACCACGTCCGATTGACCTCAAATTTTGGACACAAATCATATTTAATATTACGGACCTACTCCAACTCTTGGAATTAGAATCCGACCTCGATATCAAAAAGTCCACCTCCGGTCAAAATCTTCAAAAATTCGACTTTCGTCATTTCAAGCCTAAATCAGCTACAGACCTCCAATTCACAGTCCGGACACGCTTCTAAGTCTAAAATTACCCAACGGAGCTAATGGAACTGATGAAACTCTATTCCGGAGTCGTCTTCATACAGTTCCGACTACGATCAAAATCCTAAGACTTAAGCTTCCATTTTAGGGACTAAGTGTCCCAAAATACTCCGAAACTAAAAACAAAACCTCCCGACAAGTCACATAAGCAGAAA